TATCACAAAGGATCATGAAACACAACCCATTACAACGAACCGTCAACGAACCAAACCCAGGAAAAGAAAAATTTTTAAACAAAAACTAAAAGTTAAATACACGATGAATAAAAAAAAATATGTGATTATGATTGTTAATGGTCATCACTTTGGAAAATATCGCGAAAATGGAGATCGCAGTTATTGGCGATGCAGATTCAGAAATAAACTTAAATGTCATGCGAATGTTTTTAAAATAGGAAACGAAGTGAGAGCAACAAAACTAATCAAGCACAATCATCCTGTTATCCCTGAAAAAATTATCTAAATATAAATAACATGAAAAAATGTGCACGTTTGGTGAAAATAAAATCAAAGACGTTAATTTTTATTTCTTTGTTTTTATATGAACGACCCAATTTGAATTTTATGTTAATTCTTTCTTCTTCACAAAACAATTCAATAATCTTTAATCTTTTAATCTTCCATTCTTTTTCAGATGAAGATTATTTAATACCGTATTTGCCGAAAAATATCACAAAGGATCATGAAACACAACCCATTACAACGAACCGTCAACGAACCAAACCCAGGAAAAGAAAAATTTTAAAACAAAAACTAAAAGTTAAATACACCATGAATAAAAAAAAATATGTGATTATGATTGTTAATGGTCATCCTTTTGTAAAATATAGCGAAAATGAAAGTCGCAGTTATTGGCGATGCAGACTTAGAGATCAATTTAAATGTCCTGCAAAAGTTATTAAAACAGGGAACATAGTGGGAGCAACAAAACCGATCGAACACAATCATCTTGTTAACCCTACAAAACATGAATATAAATATAAAAGACATAAATTGAAGAGCGAGGATATCCAGAATAAGTCCTGAGTGAACTTAACAAGCCAATTTCATCAACAGAATTGATGACTTTTTAAATAGAATATTTTATTCAGATATATAAAGTTTCAATATTTTTGGTAATATTTATGGTTTTTTTTTATTTAAATTATATTGTGCGGGGGGAGGATGTTATCCTACATATTAAAGATTAATTCACATCAATCCCTTGCGATGACCAGTCGCAAGAATAAAAGTTTTCAGCCTTTTATTCAAATCGACAATAACATGTAAAATATGTACTCATTAAGTAGTTCCGAATTTTGATGCAAATAAATTCAAATTCTTCTCTATTTATGAACAACAGAGCTTGATTTTATTGAACATTCTTTTAAATATCTTCTTTTAATCTTCCTTCTTCATTAAGCAATGTAATAATCTCAATTTCCATTATTTTACAGATGAAGAATATTTAACACCGTATTTGCCGAAAAATTTAACGAACGATCAACAAACCAAACCCAGCAAAAGAAAATTTCTGAAACAAGAACTAAAAATCGATTACACAATGACTAAAAATAATCATATAATTATGATTGTGAATGATCATCTCTTTGGAAAATATCTTGAAAATGGAAATCGCAGTTATTGGCGATGCAGATTCAGAAAACAACATAAATGTCCTGCAACTGTTATTAAAATAGGAAACGAAGTGGGAGTAGGGAAAACAATCGAGCACAATCATCCTGTTATGCCTGCCGATTTTTGATGCAAATAAAATTTGAAACTTTACATATCTGTAAATGTAGAAATAACTGAAGAGTTTGATTTTGTTGAGCATTCTTTAATCTTTTTTCTTCGCGGAAAATGCAATATTTTTTACTAAAAATTTCTTTCTTTTACAGATGAAGATTATTTCGTTCCGTATTCACCGAAAAATATCACGAACGATCAAGAAACCAAACCCAAGAAAAGAACATTTTGTAAGCAGGAGTTGAAAGTTGAATACATAAAAACTGGTAAAAATAGTTTAAATGTTATTGTTAATGATCATCGCTTTCAAAAATATCAGGAAAGGGGAAATCGCAGTTATTGGGAATGCAGGTTCAGAAGGAAATTGAATTGCCTAGCAAAAGTTATTAAAATTGGAGACAAAATTGTAGCAACAAAACCAATCGAGCACAATCATTTAGTCATCCGTAAATAAAATGTTTCTTGTTTGTTTAACCCATGCATGTCTAGTAATTAAAAAACTGCTGAAATAAAGTAAAGCATTTTAAAAAAACATAATACAAATAATTTCTCTTTAATTTTTGAACCACCCAAGGAAATATCAAATCAACTGTTTTGAGACCTTTTAATATTTTCCTTTTGTTACATTTTTTCTTTCAGTAGATGTGAAAGCACAAGTGTTAACTAAATTAGAGCAAAAAGCTCTATTGGCTTTGAAAAATGCCGGTTTGGGCAGTCACATTGCACGCTTGTTGGAGCTTTTAGGATTTAGACGATTTCAAGACTTGGGAAGAATTGAAACGAATTATGTGGATTGGTTGCAGAAAGCTATAAGAAACGGACTTGTTAATAGAAAATGTAACTTGGACAATCCGAAACAACGTTTGAGAATATTTGGATATGATTGTAAATCTATTGAAAATTTCTCGTTTCTTTCTTTGGATTACATCAAACTCACTGAAGATTTGCCAGCTATTTATAAGAAAATGCAAAAAGGGAGAGACAGACAAGTTTATTTTGTAGAAACCTCGCTTCAAAAAGCATCAAAAATTAATACAAGTAAACGTTTATGTCTGGAGAAAAGGTTGATACCAAACATTTCTTAATAATTATAAACATTTTTAATTTTCTATATAATTACAGTTGCGCTTGCGATAATGATGAATGAAATAATAAATATCTTCAAGAAACTTAACTCGTCACATCTTAATTAGCCAATCTGATATTTTAGAAAATGATTTAGGTGGACTTTCACATTGAAGATTCTCTTATAAGTTGAAATTAAAAATAAATTAAATAATTAAAAAATTGTAGTAAATTTAAAATTT